AACAATTTAAACTGATGAGTTCACTGTAATGTTCATGATTAATTTTCTTCAATCTGACACACTGTATCTTTACAGACATTACCATTTTACTCGTAGCTTGTAACATATCACATGTAGATTTGAAGTGCTCTAAAGCACTGTTTTTACATAAGTTGGTTATATGCGGGCCAAGTGAAGCTAATGGTTACGGTGCGATTGTTTTGTATTTTTAACAAGAAATACATGCATGCAGCAACCCCTCGCCATTTTAAACGAAGCAAAATATTTTGTGCGCTACCTAGACCTAACTTTCTACGCTAATGTTATGAAATAACTCGTGCAAATTTTTCGGAAACAAAGACAGTCGTAAAGGTGAACAGAAATCACCTGTTTGCCTGTTGCATTATGTTGCAGTTTAAATGAGTGTTAAACTTTTGTGTAGCTAAAGCTTCAAAACATCAAAACAGCACAAATAATTATAATAACCATACAAGTTCTAAACCACAGAATACATATCAAAAGAATAACTCTATACTATTTTTTCGTAAGTGTGATTCGTCATGATTCGCCACTTAGCAAGTACATTTTTTTAAGGCAGTCTCCCCTGCAAAAATTAGCAATATTTTGATAATATTAGCGTAGAAAATTCTAGGTAGCACACGAAATATTTTGCTTCGTTTAAAATGGCGAGGTGTTGCTGCATGCATGTATTTCTAGTAATCTTTGAAGTGGCATGTATTTCTAGTAGATTCCGTGAGTAAGATTATGGCGCCCAATGGGGACCATAATCTATCTTGTAACCATAGATTGGAATCTATGCTGAATGAATTTGCTATTATTTTAGATGAAAAAAAATAAAGCAATATATGATCGAGATGTCACAATTGAAGACCTTCAACAAAAATTAAAAGTATTGGAGAAGCAGGAGAATCCACACAAATAAGCGAGGTCATACTTGAAACCCCTGATAACAAGGAAGATTATTGCAGCGCACGTAGGACTATTGTGGGAAACAATGATTTCCCAAATAGCAATCAAAAATTAAACAATCTACATTCAGACTCAAATGACCAACATCACAATGCTGATTTGCATATAATTAATATAACTAAATCATCTATAAATTAAAAGAGCCCTAACAACGAAGCTCCGACACTGCAACAAAAGGTCACTAATAATAGCGTTATCGTTGAGTTAATCCCTAATGAGGGGGAAAATTGCAAACAAACAAGCGATGTTGACGATCAGCATTACAGGGTTTCTCAAAAAAAACGCAACACTTAATATTCTAAAATTCATATTGTTCATAAGCTCAATAGATTTTATGCCCCTGGGATTTTAAAATGGCTTCTTATGGTACAGTTCAACTGCTAATAGTCAAATCAGTTAAACTAATAATGGTGCAGCTAACAACCGAACAACGAGTTTTTATTGTCGTGCATGATAACTTGAATGCTAATTGTCGACCTTGTAAAATAAATTGTAAATAACATTTTACTCGTTAGATACTTTCAATTCAGCTCGTTGGTTTACGCACCCGACTTTGTTTACCGACGATTGTGCCGCTAGAATATGATTACAAGCTTTCTCGCATTCCAGGGGCCAAACGTCTTTTGTGTTGTAGAACAAAGAGGATATCATGAATATTAAGTGTTGCGTTTTTTTGATACACCCTGTACAATGCCGATTTACATATAATTGAAACAACCAAAACATCTATAAATCAAAAGAGTCCAAACAACGAATCTCAAACACCGCAACAAAAGGTCACCGGCAACGACCATATTAATACTATCCCTGTTCGCAGTGGCGTAGCCAGCCTGACGATTTTGTCCCGCTATTTATATGTAAATTTCGAGTTATTATAATTATTCATGTCTTTAAAAATTTATTGTTTTAACAGTCAATGAACACTAAAATATTAGCATAGTGTGACAAATCGACAGGCTTGCTACGCTACTGCCTGTTCGCATTACAAATCGAGCAGAACCCCTTCGAGTCCGAAGGAAAAATTCAAGACGTCATGTCCATCACGATCAATGAGCTAATAATATAAAAGAACATGGTGCTATCAATCTGAACAGCTGAATAGTACTAACCTTAACGGATTGAATAAAGATTTTTTCGTATAGAACCCAAACGGAAGCCGAATCCACCCTGTCGGACACGGAGAATATCGAGAGACAGAATTCTATTCTACTGATTCCATTATTAGATGTATGTGGAGCGGATCGTATGGCTGATGCGGATCGTTAGTGGCTGATGCGGATCGTTTAAAGCAACAACTATAGAGGAAGACCTTTTTTCGGTAGCTAAACACTGCTCTGAAAACGAATTGCTTATTAATCCGGAAAAGACTAAATATATGCTGATTGGTACTCGGCAAAATCTACAACAACTTCCGGAAGACATGACTATAAAGTTCCCGAACGAAGCCATCACCCCTGTTCCTATTGCCAAAGATCTAGGAATGACACTAGACTCTTATTTGTCGTATGACCAGCATATCACCAACTTAGTCTCTGCATGTACGAATTCTCTGTGCCAAATAAATCGAGTCAAAAAATGCTTGATAAAGAAGCCTTAATTCTTATCATCCCGGGACTAGTTACAACACATCGTCCACCAACATCAAGAAACTACAGTTGGTCTAAAATTTTGCGTGCAGGATAATTACAAATATTGGTAAGTTCGACCATATTGCACCAGGTTTATGCGAACTTAATTGGCTCCCAGTAAAAGAACAGCTATTACTCAGAGAGGCTAGTTTGGCCAGGCCGAGCAGTATAATTATTCTTAATCTTCAGAGAGCTTTCAATTGTCTTTATATTGTCTTATGACTGGTTCCTTGCAGGAAATTTCACCGAAGCTGTGTTCAGATTTAACTGCAATATTTCCTACAGCGGTCTACTTCATGCAGTCACCCAAGACGTAAGTTGAAATTCCTTATTTTGTACTTTTCTGCAGACAAAATCCTGTGTAGAGAATATTATTGTATTTTCACTGAGTTTTAATGTTCTGTCAAAATCTGGAATAAGGCTGTTTTCCACTTACGTGTTTTTCATACGCACGTACACGCACGTAAAAATTTAAATCCTTATACATGTTACCTTCGAAAAAACTAAGTGAATAAATCGAAGGAACTTAGTTTTCTGCATATTTAGCATGCATTAGTTCAACTAGATGCATCTTAAATAATAAAAATTTAAAAGCATTTAAAATTCTCTGTATGTGTACGTGCGTATAAAAAACGGGTAAGTGAAAAGCAGCCTTCAGTTTAAACTAAACGATTACTAGGCTGCATAATTATGTTATATGAAAACATCCTATAATCAACGCTGAACCCTTGCACTTTATTTTTCCATCCCTCTTGTATGTATATAGCCATGTTTTGGAAGAGAAATTCCCTTGCAAAACCCAGCTTGTGATTCGTAGCAACTGCCTTTTTAATTTGGACTACATTTCTAACTAAACACAAGAAATAGATTAACCATGAAAACTTTTCTTCTAGGATCGTTCTACTGGAGTTTTAGTTATAAGTGGATTGCTTGATTTTCTGACGTTTGCTCTTTGACTGAGGTTCAGAGTTAACGCGTTCCAAACTATTTTCAACAATTCCAAACTACCAAATCCATAAAAAAAATCCTTGATTTTGCAGAATTTGACTAATTTTTCTGCACACTTTAACCCATAATATAAAATAGGTTTTTTGAGGTAAATTTGAAAAAATATTTTCTTGCAATTTTGCAGAATGGAAAATTTACTGTTTAATTTAGTAGTAGTTTAGTAGATTTTTGCAAACTGTATATATTTCCAACTTGAAATCAATGAAAATATGAAAATTTAGAGAAAAGATTAATTTTCCCTTTTCTAAACTTATATTTTCTTCAAAATGGAAAACTGTGTTTAAAAAGAACAGGAAAAATAAAATGGTTAAATTATTACAAAAAACAACTCTGAATTTCAAACACCCATTTACTTGCATACACATACCTGCACAGGCGCAATTATAAAAAAATTGGCAAAATGATTACAAAATGGGACTCCGAATTTCGGACACCCATTTTGTTCTCAATAAGTTAAATAATCATGGCAAAATGATTACAAAAAGGGACTCCGAATTTCAGACACCCAATTTGCTAATGCAATGGGACATTTATAACAAAATGGCAGAATGATTATCAAAATGGACTCCGAATTTCGGACACCCATTTTGTTTGCAATGAAGTAATATTATGAAAAAATGGCAAAATGATGACAAAAATGGACTCCGAATTTCAACACCCAATTTGCTAATGCAATGGGACATTTATAACAAAATGGCAGAATGATTATCAAAATGGACTCCGAATTTCGGACACCCATTTTGTTTGCAATGAAGTAAATAATTATGAAAAAATGGCAAAATGATGACAAAAATGGACTCCGAATTTCAAACACCCAATTTGCTAATGCATGGGACATTTATAACAAAATGGCAGAATGATTATCAAAATGGACTCCGAATTTCGGACACCCATTTTGTTTGCAATGAAGTAAATAATTATGAAAAAATGGCAAAATGATGACAAAAATGGACTCCGAATTTCAAACACCCAATTTGCTAATGCAATGGGACATTTATAACAAAATGGCAGAATGATTATCAAAATGGACTCCGAATTTCGGACACCCATTTTGTTTGCAATAAAGTAAATAATTATGAAAAAATGGCAAAATGATGACAAAAATGGACTCCGAATTTCAAACACCCAATTTGCTAATGCAATGGGACATTTATAACAAAATGGCCGAATGATTATCAAAATGGACTCCGAATTTCGGACACCCATTTTGTTTGCAATAAAGTAAATAATTATGAAAAAATGGCAAAATGATGACAAAAATGGATTCCGAATTTCAGACACCCATTTTGCTAATGCAATGGGACATTTATAACAAAATGGCAGAATGGTTGCCAAAGTGGACTCCGAATTTTGGACACCTATTGTTTGCAACAAAGTAAATAATTATAAAAAAAAGGCAACATGATTAATACAAAAAGGAACCCTAAATTTCAGGCATTTACATCTTGTTCCAAATGGAATCATATAGTAATAGGAAATTGATTAGTAATAGGAGAGTCAACAAATCTTAAACAACTATTTTATATTGGAATAATTATTAAAAAAAAGACTACCTAAAAAACCTCAACAATTTGCAGAAGTGTGTTTCCACAAAGCAGTGCTATAGTAAATTGTTATATATTTATTGTATAATATTTGAAAAATTCAGTAGTGCACAATGTATTAAAACTTACATCACATATGCATTCAGTACACCACTTGCTCTTTTGCTCCACAGTCCACGCACATAAAGAATAAAATCCCTGCTTACCTAAACTACAACACACTGATATTACATGATAAACACACAACAGACAGGATCGGATTGAAACAAATTTATAGTAAAAATTGCAACTAAATATATCAACATCAGTTCATCAGATCTAATATATTTAGATCAGATCTAATATATTCAGAGATCCAGGCCACAAAATAAATACGTGTTTGAATTGTGTTTTGTGTATTTTAAAAACATGTATGGCGAAGAAGGCAAACAAGGTTTTACAAATAAAGGGTTTTTTTAAATATTACTGAATGTTTCTTTGGTTTCGCCAACTCGAAGCTTAGAAGGTTGTCCTATACTGAAATTAACAAGATCTGATAGGTGAATAAGTACAGCCATATGCATCAAATACCGGTAAGTGAGCACGAGTCTTCTGCATATAAAATAACATTTATTGATTTATAAGATCATAGGGCGGCCCAAAAAAGCGTGTTGATGACAATAAATAAACCGAGTAAATACTGTATACGCAAGTGTTGCAACACTATATTTTGTTTAGGTTATAAATCGAGTCATGGCAATTTCTAATGCTCATTGATACACAGTAACAATACTCCTTATGCATTAGGACATCAAATGCTTCACAAATACCAGAATTTCCTGCAAGAATTATAATAACACATATTGCAATTCTCTCAGAGAATGCTGCTCTTTGTGTTCATACAGAAATAATTGACATCGTATTAAATCCATATAGGTCTATTAGTTGTTGAAGCCTGAAGGCAAGGTGTTTACAAGCCCATATCCACTGAGCAGAAGGCAAAGTAGATATGAGCTGTGGCGACTAATTGTTTTAGTGTAAATTTGGTATTGAGAATGGTTAAATATACAAATGTTTCTCACAAATACATTTTGGTACTTCATAAGGTTCTCATATAAAAAATATTGGGGCACAGTATAGTTCCTTTTCCCTCTAATGGTTAGGCTTTTTTTTTGTGATCTCTGTACCATTTTTTAATAAATTTTCTGGTGTTTTCCAGCAAATGATTTTTGTCATCAAGTTCGAACGCACATATTATAATAGCCGCTTTGGGAATGGTATCCACCCATGGTGTTGGCCCATCTTTACTATTCACAATGTGGGGTTCCCAAGCAGTGCTATAATTTCCCTTCCAGTATTGTAAACAAAATTCATCATTTCCAACCTCCGATACTTTCCCAATGATTGGCCTTTTTTTGTAGTTAGATATATTTACTGCCACAAACACATCAGGTTTCAAAGCAGCCAAGTAATTATCATCCATATTTATGCCCCGGGAAGCTGGAGCTTGATATGAGCCAGTATATATCTAGGAAAATAAATGTAAAATATAGAATAATTTGTATATTTGCTATGCCAACTGCATAAGATTAGGGTTCCATTGATCAGCATGCTCATACTATAGGAGTTGCCATTTCAGTGCTAAAACTTTTTATGTTGTTATAAAAGCTTATTAGTTAATGCTTCACAAATATATCAATCCAATCCCATTAAAATATTTTTGTTTACCTCTTCTTCTTTGTCTAGCTCCTTCTCTCTCAAAGCAGATAGCTGTGCTGGTATTTCAGCTGTCTCAACACGTTCAGCATTTGGTCTTCTAACATGATTTTTCAGTGAAAATATTGGAGACGTATTATAATTGTAGCATCATTGTTGCCTGTTGTCTGCAAAAATGATTCCCACCATCCTTGTGCTGTTGAGGGCATTACAGAAAACCATTTTTACATGTCAACTGCAAGCTTAGGTAAGTCTGCCCTTACGAAAATGTTCTATAGAATCCTATAGAATATGCTATAGCATATTCTAAATCCTATAGAATATTCTATAGGACTTCTTATCCTATAGAATATTCCATTGCCATATTCTATAGAATTTACAGATCCTATAGAATGTTCTATAGGACTTCTTATCCTATAGAATATTCCATTGCCATATTCTATAGAATTTACAGATCCTATAGAATGTTCTATAGGACTTCTTATCCTATAGAATATTCCATTGCCATATTCTATAGAATTTACAGATCCTATAGAATATTCTATAGGACTTCTTATCCTATAGCATATTCCATTGCCATATTCTATAGAATTTACAGATCCTATAGAATATTCTATTGTGAATGATATATTCTATAGAACATGCTGTACACAATAATCTATAAAATGTTATACAGAATGTGATTTTATGTAATAATTAAGGCAATTTAAAATATAGCAATTTTAGTACACGATTGATATTGGTCGAGAAATGTGTTTTCATCTGTCTAGAAACACAAAAGTTGAATAGCATCATATTCGTATTTTGTGTGAGGTCCTCTCGACATACTTTTTAAATCTTAATGTTAAAATTTTCCGCAAAAATCATTCGTTTTGTAAAGACAAATCACAAGTATTTTAGACATATCTGTTTTCATAATATGCCTGTTCGCAGGTTAGATGGCGGGGCGTTTTGCCGAAACAAGGCCGCAAAGTTATGTGGGACTTGTGTAACTGACACGCATAACGCATAATTTTCAAATTGTGAGCGCGTCTTTGTCATTCGTTCAACGTTTTATAACTGATACTGGTAGAATTTAGCGAGTTTTTCTTTCGTATTTGAACATGAAATACGCAGTACTTGAATTTGTCGATGAGGAGTATAGAAGGTTGGTGAAACGCGCTGGATTATGTGAGAAGAATCAGAAGATTCGGATAATTTTGTGAATGGTACATGACTATAGACTAGGATCGTGAGAAAGAAATTGTGTCAAGGCCATCAGAAAATTTCTGAAAGGTTCCATTGACCCATCTACAATTTCAACAATAACATGTGAAGCTAAAGTATTGGAATTAAGTGGTGAGTGTGTTTGTAGTTATATGCTATAGCCTATATGTTTGTGCAGGCAATTAACAATATTCTCTATACCCTTTATATTGTATATAGAATACTTAATTTTTAATATATCATTCTAAGAGTGAATATAATGTCTCAAGTGTTTAATTTTGCATTTACTATTAAATTTGCAGATTTGCTTATGTCCAAACATCATACTATAAACCAAAGGTCAAAATGGTATAATTATATTTGTAGGTGCCCTTATGTCCAGTGTCTCAATAACAAAGACTCAACAGAAGGTTTTAAAAAGGAAAAGGCAATAAATTTAAAGGATTTTGTGTACTCAATATTATGGGTATATTGTGGAGCCGGGAGGTTCTGTCCACACACTCCATGACAGGAAAGATCTCCAATGCATTAAAGGAGAAGGATGCCAAGCCACAACTTGACAAGGAAAAAGTCAATGGCATATGTGGTAAGCTGATAACTTATTTCAGTTAGCTAAATATATATTGTATACTATTTCATCACTCACAGCATGGTAAGACAAGTCCTGCATTTTTAAATAATTTTTCAATCACTGATATTCCTTAATGTAGAGTATACTTCAAAAAGATATGGTTGTCCTGCATCTGAAGTACGTGTGACAAGTAATGCTAAGAAAATGCTAAAAAGAAGTCCTGCGAAAAATAATGAACTGAGCTACTTATACTTGTACTGATACATATATGCCAATATTTCTAATATATATCTTTTTATTCTTGAAGTCATTTTCATCATTGATGTTTTCTCATGGCTAGACATAATATATTGGTAATATTGCACAGAAGAGTGAATAGCACATCTTAATTGTGTAATATTGCAATTGCATGTTCTGTAGAATATGCTACTGTATGTAGCATATCCTATAGCATTCTATAGCATCTTCTATAGCATCTTCTATAGAATCTTCTATAGGATCTTCTATAGAATCTTCTATAGCATCTTCTATAGCATCTTCTATAGAATCTTCTATTGAATGTTCCATAGAATATCCTATAGAATATTCTATAGAATTAGTGCCAAAATCTTTTAGAATATTCTATAGGATATTCTATAGAATATTTCAATAGAATATTCTATAGAATATTTTCGTAAGGGTGCCTTTGCAAAATCTGCTGGTATTTGGACTGGCATGTCCATAGGAGTTGACTATTTATAAAATGAAATAAAACAATAACTTATAGTGGCTTGAAGCAATTTTGAGTACTTTGTGATAGTTGTGGTACTTTGGGAGAAATTTTAGAATACTGGTACCTTTAATAAAGAAATAGGACCCATCCATTCATCATCACTCCACTTTCTGTAATACATTACGGCTTTGTTTTTTTCATTTCTCACAAATTTAAAGCAGTGTGGCTTGACATGATTGTGTAAGTCCTCACTGTGACCATCCAACAACTTCTTGATATCATAAATGCATGATAAACAGTCAGATTCTGGGTATGGCTTGTTACAGCATTCTTCAAATGCTTTTCTTATATCTAAAAAAAGAAAAAGAAAATATTCAGAAAAAAATAATTAATGGCTTGTTAATATTTATCTGTTGGCTGATTGCTTCATTTATTGGTGCAAAAAATCAATGTATGCACTGTAAGCTGATGATTCACAAACAAAAAGCAACACATGCATAAGTCCGAATTCAATAGTTTTTTAATTTAAACATGCTTAAAAACAATGATCTTAAATTACTCAAATATAAAATAATTTTTTACATTGTAAAGGGCAATTTTGGTAATCAATCAATTTTGGTAATCAGCTTATCTCTATTATTTTGTCACACTGTATGTCAGCAGAATAGAACAAAATCTAATTGTATGGTAATTGTTTGTGTACAGTATCAGACAGAGGGTGCATGGTCACACATGCAGTCAAATCCATGTTGAACATATACAGTGTATATGCCTTTCCATTTTAACATGTGAGCAATATATATACACCCAAGGATTTACTATGTCAGATGATTTTATGTAAGTACTTGTCTGTTAAGACTTACCATTTACTGTATATACATCAAGAAATTTAAGATGCTTTGAAAAACAGCCAAATAATGCATCAATGTCTTCATGCGTATGGCCAACTGGTAGAAAGTTGCCCTTTATCTGAAAAATTAAAGGTTACATGCAATATTACTTTAACTTGTATATATACTGTATGAAACATAATTGAGATTCCTGTTGTGAAAAATTACTCCTTTGAAAAACTTGTACATTATTAGTACAAGTACAAAAAAGCACACATGATCTTATTTGATCATTAGCTCAAGCTATTTTCTAAGCTTCACATACAGCAATAATAAAGATATTGTTATTTTGAACCCACTAAACTATCAATCACTCATTACAGCACCAGGCAAAACTTCAAAAAACATATAGATGGGCCCACCTACAGTAAACCTTTTGTGGCTATGACTAAATTGTCTGGCTTTGTTTTAAAGGTATCTCATATTCGTATTTTAACTATACCTTGTCAAACACCGACCATTCCACCAAAAGAGATAATAAAGTTAAAACATATTTGTTTTTGTTTTCACGCCAGCAGTTGTCCACTTGGAGATTAAGTATGGGTGGTAAACCATAGCGATCATTGAGCAGTGCAAGAAGTTTGATGAGAATGTTCATTGTTAGATTGCTGTCATGTTTCCATTGAAAAAGGTCAAACATACCATGGAATAATTTTCCCATGGGACACAACCCACTATGCATTATAGTTCCAACAAGATGTGTTCTCAACTTTTGCAGGTTTGCAGTTGATTTGCAGACTCTTCGAAGATTTGGTACATCAGTTTTGGATTGATCCATACCATCCAATATGATTGTTAGGTACTTTGAAGGACTCCGCCGTGCTTTGTACCGATGAAGATGATATTTTCTTCGTTCATTCCTGGTAAGAATTATTATTGAATTGTTTATACAGGATATGTACTGGCTATCAACAGAGAGGTTAAGAATGCCCTGTTAGCTAATACCACACTATAATCACGCAGGTGCTGGACAAAAACCCAAAACGCAGGCAAAATAATCAGTAGACAAACAAATAATATTTGTAGAAATTTTACTCTCATTATTCTGTTTACTTACATAACACGTTCAATGTGTTCATCCAGAAGTTCTTGAATGGCCTTTCTTTTAGCTTTATTCATTGTTGCCTCTAGTTGCTTTTTATAATTTGTGCAGTGGTCACATTTGGTAAACCGGTTTTCCTGCAATAAAACAATATTTGGTATATTTATTACCACCAACTGACATGTCTAATACCAATTTGAAAATTTTGCCAAATGAAAATTTATTTGCCAAATGAAAATTTATTTGCCAAATGAAAATTTTATTGAAAAAATACATATTTTGCTAGTGGGGTGGGGATACAGTAGCTTTAAGGTTAGCTCACATGTTGAACATGTTTTATGGTAGGTAAGATTACGTAAAACTTTGCAATGTCCAGTATACTCACACATAGCCGGGTATCAGGCGCGGTTTCATGGTTTTAGTGGTGAAAATTACAGTGCCCATTTAAAATCTGTATATTATTATTACATTTTTAAGCATTACTTCTTTGCTGCAGGCAGAATATTTTTTTGCTGTTATGATGTGGGTAACTCTGTTTGACATGCAGGAATGTCTCAACGTGTGCTTGGTGATAGTTTAGCAAATTTACGAGCCGGTCGTATTCCGAACAGTTTTTCAGAACATCAACAAAAACTACTTTTCGTTCAAACCAACATTCATTGTCATCAGATACTGAAATATGAATACAGCAATAGGCCTTAAAACTGTAGGTGCGCATGCATGCATTTTTGTTTCCAAAGCACGGAATTGCTTTAAATTTAATAGTGAACAAGTAACAACTAAAGTCTAAAATGGTTCTTACCTTCAGAATCACCCTCGTAGTTTAAACTTCGCTTTGTTTTTCGTTGTCCGCTGCTTTCTTGTGCGCATGTAGACGGGGTGTCACAATGGAGCATTCTCCTACGTTTAACAGGCGATTGGGCTAAAATGTAAAATCATTGACACTGTTGATTAAATGCCGCAAATTTATTATAGGCTTCGAATCAGGCTATATAGCTGAAAGTTTAAGGATGTTTCTCATAATTATTTTATTGTTTTCTTGTTTGTATACGCGCGCGACGCTAGTTAAAACTTGGAAGCGCATGTAAGGCCGACGGTCGACAAATTGTATTATTATATACCACTTGTCAAAGTTTGGTGTTCGTAGCATTTCATTGAATAATTTACTGCTATTTATTAATAATTTATTTATTGTGGTATGCTAAAAACACAAGTCACGAGTCTATCGAAAATTGGTTAGTTGCTAATCGATGTCGCATACTCCAAATTTCATATTTCAACTCGCCACAAAAGAACAAACGGCAAGTCTTATCATTGCGTCAAGTCTTATTGAAACCTAAGAGACGTAACTTGCCCTTTTTTGCGCCGCACTTTATTTATAATTTCAACTAAAATACAGTTATTATATCTATTATGAAATTTTAGGTATAGTTAAAATTAAAAATAAAATTTAAAATATTTTCTTACATTTAGAAGGGCTGTTGTCTGGTGATGGGCTAGCAGGCGATGAGTTTCCTTCGAGTGTTGAGTAGGAGACAGTGGAGAAGTCATAAAAATACGAGGAGTGTTGGCGACTAGCAGAAAATGGAGAACAAAATAAATTATTAAAACGCTTGTCCAAATACAGGTGAATATATATTTCTAATCTCAATCTATTTAGACACGTAGAAATGTAACATATCATACCGTTTAGCGGACTTAGTGTGTTTTCGTTGTCACTGCTGCTAAATCCAATTCCAACAGGCGAAGAGTACAGGCTAGATAACTGTGAGTGAACAGGAGTCGTTCAATCCCCAGGAGAGCTCGTCACTAAATATCATCATAAAAATTGTGTAGATATAGACTATAGTTCATGTACTATATTCAAGTATACAGATTGCTTATTTGTGATCTCTTACCACTTTGCGGACTCCTCGTGTTCTCATGGTTACTGCTGAATCCAATACCGATAGGCGAACTGCCTTCTATTTCTCTCTCTCGAAGAGTTTCAATAGTGGACGGCGACGCCGGTTCTGGCGAGGATGAAAATCCAAACCCGCAAGGCGACGACATAACTATACAACTAGAAATACATTGCATGCAGTGACCTCTCGCCGGACCTTAATGCAACAACATCATTTCCGAAACAGTGTGAAAATCATATTATATTTAACAAAATAAAGTATTTACAATAAAAATAAAACATTTTAAAACAGAACAAATTTAATATTTACATAACAGTTAAAATAACAAACTCGCAATATTTGGCTACGTTGACATACAGTGATTTCTCATCGGGTAGTCGAATTGTTGAGAACGATATTAAGATTGAAAACATTATTGGCTCATTTTTCACATGCTGATATCTCATTAATTGTTTGATTGAATCGCCTTTTAACCCGTAATGTCAATTTTGCTTGTGTATAGAATGCGTGATGTTTAACGTTAAAAATCAATGATGGTATAGAGATTATATGTCAACGTAGCCTAGTCTGCACGTTTGAGAAGTTTAAGCACTAAACTTCTCAAACGTGCAGTTTGTAAATTGCATTGAGGGCTTTTGCTGCCCTCGTTTTTGTGTTGTGCGCCCAGTCTGCCGCTGGGGGCACACAACCCTTGTGTGGCCCCGCTGGCCACACAACCAACAAACAGCCCCTATAAGAAAAAAAAGTCACTATAAGAAAAAAAAAGTCATTATATACACGCCTAAAAACGATCAGGTTGATGCAACATTGATATGAACAGCATCGAACAATGTTGTGCTGCCCACATTGTTCAGAGTTGTTATCAACTTGGAACAATATTGTTGGAACTGAATCGGGTGTAACAATATTGTTCCAAGTTGATAACAACTCTGAACAATATGGGCAGCACAACATTGTTCGATGTTGATGCAACAACCTGATGAGTTTTTAGCCGTGTATATTATTTTCATACATTGTGATGGCCAGCGGCGTCTTTAGCAATGTTTAAATATTTGATTAGACCTTCTGAATTCTTTCTGTCACACCGGGCTTGGTATGTTTAGCCCTAGAGTCAAGGTTATATGCTTACAACATCACACCACTTTGCAATTGTTCACGTGACTATACAATACATGGCAATCCATAAGGTATTAAATACATACGCGATTGGCAGGCGCGAGCACGATGGCCCCGCACGCCACACTTGTAGCAACGCCCTAAGGTGGAATATCAAGAAATGATTGGTCTTCTGGCTAACTAAATTCGTGAATTAACTGACCATTGTCAATAAAACTTTATTAACCTGCAATATGTCCACGGAAACCTAAAAGAGAGGAGATGTCATTTTGAGCATCATTGCAATGTAACCATTATTGATCGAGTGTTATGTGTTTACATAGGTAATAACACTAATGAAATTATACAAATTAATACCTGGGAGCAAGCCTTTCCCCCGAAGAGCAGGGAGCGGATGATGTTCTGAAATGTACGTAACAAACTTGGTTGACACATCGCGTAAATTAGGATATTAAATTGATAACAAAAAGTTTTTAAAAATTGGAAGCTATCTGGAAGCAAATGGTATACATTACATTTCAGTAAAATTAAATGATACAATAATACCTGGGGGCAAGCCTCTCCCTTGTGGTGCAGGGAGTGGATGATCTTCTGAAATGAAACAATAATACACAAATACATAGATGTGATTTTCAATAATGAACAAAATACATAGATGTGATTTTCATGCATCCACCACAAGGACAACATTTTTACAAAATGGGGGGGGGGGGTTGTACGTAAAATTATAGAAGGAAGGCAATTGGGTTGAGCTGGGTTGTGGTCTTTTAGCTCATTGGAAAATCTGTAACGGATAACAAAAATGTGAGGTTATATACCACAAATTATGTATATATATTTCTTTATATATGGCTAAGTCAATAATAATATTGTAAACTTGTGCATTGTTGATATAATTGTGGTGGCACAGGATTTACTGTGATAAAATGAGAGTATTTTAGTTGTGCACGGGGAGCTACAGGATTGCTCACCTGGCCCATCCACTGCCACGGCAGGTTGCTCTGCTTCTCTTAGATCTATGGTGAAGGGAAATTTGTGTATAAAATGTATTATACACTTTATTGTTGTGAGAAAAAATGAAAACAGTGCGACAAATGAATTAGATTAATACTTTGAATATTTTTTATTTACCTTCATCACCCTCTGCATCAACTTCAATTTCTAAAATGCAAGAGGCAAAATCTTTAATCAATATTTAGTACTTTGCTAAATTTATACTACAGTATGTGTGTAAATATGGCCAGAGTATTATAAAGGCCACACTAAATTGATTTATGTCTTTGAGAATGAATCTATGTTTCATATATATGGCATGTTTGTCATGTGCGAAAAGAAAAGGTTACCACAAATTATGTATTTCTTATATATGGCCAAGTGCCTATCTGTAAACATACCAAGTACTTCTTCTTCATTTTCCACTAAAATACATAGAAAAATCAGTAATAGTAAAAACGTTTACCATTACACTACAACCATGAGAAAAGTGGTTTGTAAACTGGTAGAAAAGAGGTTGAATCTTACTTTTTTCTCTCCTTGTAGATGATCTTATATGCCATCAACATAAAAATATATTGAGTAAACATATTTTAATACTATTTCAAAAGCACTATACGGTTAAAATACATTGTATACTCGAGGCAAGCTTAAAATTCCTTCAATATAGCTACTGAAATGTTATTTTTGAGAAAAGAAATGTATTAAAATAGCAAACTTACATTTTTTTAAATAATATTTATGACTTTTGTAGCTGTAAAATATATAAGAAATACAATAGTTTCATTAGTTTATTGAGAAAAGTTAAACACAAAAGACAATACGCGTCGGCGTTGGAAAAACATGCCAATTTTAAAATGCAATAAAAAGGATACAGAAGTTTCTCCCTAAAATATCTGTGCGTAAATTGGTAAATCAAATTGTCGACTGTGGAATAGTATATTATAATTTATTCGAGCGAATTTTGAAATGTTTAATATTTTATAAAGTTTTTTATTTTGAAAAAGACTTACCGCAGTCCAAAAACAGCAGGATATCGGCAGGATATTTTCGCGCTCTTTTTGAAATTTATGTTATACGTGAATTTTGCGTGTACTTTATTATTGTTACCAGGCAAATCACGAAATATCCCCGCGCGATGGTATTGTGGTTTTCATTTCATTGATTGTTATTGTAAATAGGTAACTTACCTGATTGATATAGTGTACATGTCAACAGCCACCCTCAAAAGCATAATACCTGATATCATGTCTAGTAACAGGCAATATGACACATGTACAGTACATTGCCATCCTCAAAAACAAAATTATAGAGGCAAAGTTGTAATAAGACATACAAACTTCACTTCTAAAATTGTGTCTAGTAGCAGGCGACTATGATTTCCTCGAAAGCACATTGGTGCCCAGTATCATTAAACAAAAGGATATAACAACTTACAATACAATCCATATCTTTATATGCATATATTCAATGCTTATGCCTCTGCTCAGTCTTTTCTGCAAGCACACGAAGTCGTCGTTCCGCTTCTTGTCGCTTCTTCAAATTTTTATTCCTACCAATGACTTTCAGACGATCAAATGTCATAGGTTCAAACACAATATCATTAATTGATCTTACCCTAGATGCTGCCACAAATGTGCAGCCAGCAACTCTCTCCCCTTTACCTAAATCAACAACAGCCTTGGTTAGTGTCTGTCCTTGGGACTTGTGTATCGTCATTGCATACCTCAGCCGCAAGGGCAATTGTTGTCTTGACAAATACTTTCCATCCGCCATCCACTCAAACAGTCTTGGAGGCACAGGTATACACTTTGAACATTCTTGTAGAAATGCAGGGCCAGAATATGCTGGAAAATGAACCAGTACTGCAATCGGTAGATTTGGTGGACCCATATTCTCTGCAAACCAAAATTGCTCAACAGTTCCAAAAGAGCCATTGCAAAGACCGACTTCTGCCCAAAGGTTACATGTCAGCATCACTTCTGCTTTGGTTGACAAAAAGAGGACAGCTTCCAAACCACCTGCTTCATCAGATGTTGCCGCACTTGCACCTCGACCAGAATGCCTTGCTTGAATTTTGGACCAAGGGTTGTCCAATCTCTAGCAACTTCTCATAATTATATTCAGCGACACTTTTTTTATCAAAGTACAGCCGGATTGCATCACTAAATCGATCCATTGAAACGTTAGGTCTGGAGTGCTGTATTAATAGTCTCCAGTCCATCTCGGTAACTTGTCCATCTCTCATTCTCATCAATAGCGCCCTGAATGCAACTACTTCTGGGTCTTCACCAATCTGTCGCATGACCTGCTCTAAAATGACTACATAATCAAATGTTAAATACATACTGTGACCATGGTCACTGATTACAGATCCATTACCTGCAATGTACATTGGTTTTATCGCCTACAGGAGGTAACTGGCCGAAATCCCCCATTAGGATAATCGACATCCCACCAAATGGGATATCCTCTTTTCCTGTACCTGCACGTAGTCTGTTGTCAAGCCATGAAAGCATCTGATGTCCAATCATTGACATTTCATCAATAATGAGAAACCTCT